GGTTCGCGATGAACCCAGTCGCCTGGAGGTGATCGGTTTGATTTTCTAGTTTAGGCCATTGACATTGAGTGCTGGAATTTCAAATCCTCAATTTTCAATTTCTTGAAATTTTTGCTGCTCTTGGGTTTTATGTTGTTGGATGTTTCTAGAGCTGTTTGTTTGAGAAGAACATGCTTTCTTATTTTTGGTAGGGATTGAGAACCCAGCTCGCGCCTGAGTTCGCGACTTGGCAGAGATTGAGAACCCAGCTTGCATCTGGGTATGTTGCGAACCCAGGCGCGAGCTGGGTTCATTGCCAACCCAATCACACAAGCTGCGTTCATTGCGAACCCAGTCGCGAATCCAGTTGCGCAAGCTGGGTTCATCCTGGGTAAAAGGAAAAAAGGACAAAAAAAAAAAAAGCTGGAGGAAGTGGGGTGACGTGGAGGGTGACGTGGAGTCCACATAAACATATATTACGCGTTGGTATACCACGTCAGCTGTTCTAGTTAAGTTAACATGCCACATAAGCCAAAATTTAACCGAGGGACTAAAAAGGGGCCGGATTTGTGAACAGTAAGGATCAAAAAGGGGATTTTTTCGGTACAGGGACTAAAAAGGGACTTTTTCCTATAGTAGAGGGACCAAAAAAGGTATTTAACCTTGTTTGTTTTCTTCTCTTAACAGGACCAAGCTCATAGCATCCTCTGTGACTTCCAAGTATATATATAGAGCCTCCCCATCTATTGTTTTGGCAAGCAGCAGTGGTGAGGTTAAATAACGCTTAAGCTCGTCAAATGCCAACTGGTAGTCTTCTGTCCACTAAAAGCCCTTTGGGTTCCTAAGGACCTTAAAGAAGGGGAGGTATTTTTTGCCAATCTAGCGATAAACCTATGCAGAGCTGCGAGCCTACTCATCAAGTGCTACATGTCCTTTACTGTTCTAGGGGGTTCCATCTGTTAAATGGCCTGCACCTCGTCTAGTTTCACCTCAATCCCTTTTTTAGAGACCACATAACCCAAGAACTTGACAAATTCTACATCGAAGGTACATTTGAGAGGATTTAACTTCATATGTGCTTGACAAAGAGTTAGAAAGGTTTCCTTCAAATTTACCAAGTGATCTTCAGCTTGGAGGCTGGTAACAATCATGTCAACCATGTATACCTCTATATTCCTTTCGATCTAAAGTTTGAAAATAAACTGAACAAGCTTCTGATATGTAGCCCTCGCATTCTTCAACCTAAACAGCATCATTACATAACAGTAAATCGCATCCCCAACTCTTGAGCTTGCACCTAAAAAGCTCATTCACTCATGACCAGCTGCTCGTTCCACAAGCTTTTCAACATTTGAGAGTGGATGAGGATCCTTTGGGCACACATCATTCAAATTTGTGAAGTTTATACACATCCTCCACTTCTTGTTGGGTTTTTTGACAAGCACAAGATTAGACACCCATTCTGAATACTCCACTTTTCTGGGGGGAGTCTTACTAGTTTATTTACAGAGTATATTTATAGTTAATGTTCAATTCAATTTAAATTCTTCTTGTTGTAACTTATTTTGTTTTTCTGCTTTGCCTTTTTTGTTTCTTTGTTGATTTTTCTTAATTTACTCTGCTTTTTGTGCAACCTCTATCTCCTACTACTTGTATATATACAGTTCTCAAAATCAATGAAATTTATATAAAATTCCACCAGATTTTACAAAGGTAAAGAGAAGTACGAATGTATTGTTCAATCTTGTCCACTACATTTTTTATATATAGAATTACCCGTGCATAAAGAAAAGTTTTGGATAAGAAACTCGTGAGAAAGATTATCACACCTTTAAAGAAACCATTTTGAAATTCTCAGTAGTTGCCTCCTCAAAATATTTCTTGAACAGTTCTTGCCGTTTTCTAATGAATTTACCCTACAAATATATAATTCAAAGAGAAATCTTTAGTTACAAAGAAAAACAGTCACTAAATTCAACTAAATTAAGAATTAAAACAGAATAAATGAAGATTTTTTATGCACACTACAATTATATAATTCAAGTACATATCAATCATGTAAGAAATCTTTAACTACAAAATTAACCTTACCAAAGGAAAATGGAATGTGAACAAGACCTTGGTTGAATTGGTAATTACAAACTACAAGTCTTGATTTGAGGTCAAGTTCAAGGTTCAAACCTCTACCATGCCAAACAACTAACCCTCCAATGTAACAAAAAAGAGGAAGAGAGAGAGAGAAAGAGAGAGAGTAAACAGAACTCCGCAAACTACCGTGTAAAACTCCAAAGCTAGCTGCTTGGCCTCAAACTCCCATCATCTGTTATTCTAATGACCTTTTTATCTCATCTACACACAAGGACAGAAACTGAACACAATCACTAATGGAAACACATATATATGCGACACTTTCCAGCTTCCTATTAAACCACACAAACTACTTGATCACCTGAATCAATTCAAAAATTTTGCTTTTCTCCCATTGATCATTATGGGAGATCATCTCATTTCTATCCTTCCAACTAGGCCACATAATAATTATCAAGAAAACTAATGCCCCTACCTTAACATTATATATACCTATCAAACACCCCGGAGACAAAATGTAGACAGCAAGCATCAACAGTATCAGTGCAAAATAGAGTTAAATCCCCTCCAAGAGTACAACATCTCATCCAAAGATAAAGAGACTGAGTGCATTCTAGAAACAAATTGTTCATACCCTTTCCATCAACACCAGAAAAAATCAAATAATTTATCTAAAACTTCTTTCAATCAAACCATTAGGTTCGTGTTTGAATGTTGACATAGTTAATGCATCCAAAAAGGTAAGTAAAACAAATTAGTTAAACACCAAAAAGAAAAGTTGCATGGTAGGAATTTGGAAGGAAGTAAGGCACATGTAATCACACCATGAAATATTCATCAAGCTGCTTGAAGTATTTTGTCAACTTTGGTTCTTGCTCTGCCATACCCTTCATTTGATAAACAAGAAACAAATTAAGATAAAACAAAATTTTCAAGGCAAATATATGAAATTAAATGTTTATGGCATTTATTTGTAATTGTTATTATTTCACGGATCATCAATCCATCTCCTCTTAGTTTGATAGAAAGTGCATAAATTAGGGATCTTTGATTATATATACCTCTAAACTTTCCTCATTTATTTTCCTCATGTACTCTTCACTAAAGGGTTTGAACATGTCATTGATTCCAGGCATCTCACAAAAGGCCTTGTGTGCTTGAAGTTCCAACTGCATTTACAATTAAAACAAAGTAGGTGAGGACTTTTTAGTAATATAATTCAAGTAAACATCAATCATTCATAATAGTATAGATATCATTTTGTTTCCCACAAATAATCTATTATATTATAGAGAAATAAACTCATCCAGCTGAAATCTATAAATATATAATTCAAATAGAAATTTTTAATTAGAAAGAAAGACTATCACTAAATTCAACTAAATTAACAATTAAAACAGAATAAATAAAGATTTTTTTATGAACACTAAAAATATATAATTCAAAATACATATGACTCATATATGAAATATTTAATTGCAAAGAAAAACTATCACTGAATTCAACTAAATTAACTTGTACTTGAAAAAAAATACACAAAATTAAACTTAGAAATAGAAAACAGAACTCTGCAAACTACCTTGTAAAACTCCAGAGCTAGCTACTTGGCCTTAAACACCCATTCCCTATTATTCTAACAACCTTTTAATCTCATCTACATACATGCAACACTTTTCAGCCTGCTCTTTAACCACACAAGCTACTGGATGACCTGAATTAATTCAAAAATTCTGCTTTTCTCCCATTGATCAATATGGAAGATCATTAATTAACCATGAAAACTAATGCCCCAACCTTAACATTATATATACCTTAACATTAAGACACTACTAGGTTATTGATTAGTGCTCCTATTACTTTAATTAGGATATTTGTAAAGCCTATTTATGACTTATTTCCTTTTTGGATAATTAAGTAGAATCTTTATCTTTTTAATATCATCATTGTATCTCATCTTGAGTTCATGTTTCAATTCAATAGCTTAATTCCCCACAATCTTAAAAGTTCTTCCTCTTCTTGGATTTTGTAACATTTGGTATCAAAGCCTATTTCCATTAAATTCCATGGCATCCAAAATTTTAGCCAGCCCTCAATCCCTCATTTTGATGATATCACTATGACCATTGGAGTCTGTTGATGGAGAATTTCCTTAGGTCCAAAGAATATTGGACAGTTGTTGAAGCTAGAGCTC